TAAGTTCAAGCATTGTTTGAGTTTAGTCGGCTGATTCAGTTGTTAATTTGCATAGTGAATTTGATCCAATGTGAAAATTGTTAGAATGTAGCTCAAATTACATGAAGACCACTCATCATGCATCGTTTTCTCCGTTGCCGCATGCTTCCCCACATAGCATTGCTCCATTGCCGCATGTCTCCCCACATAGCATTGCACATTCTCGGACTTTAGCTAATCCTCCTTACAGTTGCCGCTTTTCTCTCTCTCTCTTTTTTTTTTTTTATTGTATAAATAGCTTGCATTTCTTTGTATTCAATCGTACATCAATTTCAATTCATCTTCACCTCATTTCAATTCTATCTCTATTTAATTTCAATTCTTCTTACGTGTTTATATATATATATATATATATATATATATATATATATATATATACTATATTCATTTGTCATATATATAATTTTTCTTATTTATATTATTTAATTTCTATAATTCTTAATTTTCAATTATTAGTTTTCGCATTATTCCACTATATTGCTGACATATATTCCAAATATGCTCAAGGAGCAATCTGTTTGACAGCCCACGGTAGAGGGGATGCTAATTCGTTATGAGCCACCGGATGATCGAGCAATATCAATGCACTACATTAATCCACTAGTTCACGCAATAATAATGGTATGTACCAGAAAACCATTCTCTATTTGTGAAAATAGTAGATTGAAGTTGGATAAATTATCAAAATATCTCAAAACTAATCTTAAATCTTTTTTTTTTTTGTTTTTTTTGTTTTTTGTTTTTTTTTTTTTCCTTTTTGATTCAGGAGCTAATGACAAACTAATACAAGCAGCAAACTACTATGTTGTCTGCATGGAGTAGTTTTAACAGAGTAACATTGTTAGAGGATTGTGCAAACTTACCGGATGGTTCGGGGAGAGTTAAGCATCTGCGCAGACCGTCAATCCCAGCAGGAATTATGGAAGCCAGACCGAGGTATGGGTTTGCACATCCATCAAACACCTTAACCAGGTGAACTGGCAGTTCTTAGTGTGGCCTCTCGATTTTGTCTCCCCCAATACTAGCCATAAGATGTCAGTCCAGCTGCAATCTAAAGTGACAAGAAAAAGAAAAAATAGTTTTAAGAAACCAAGATCTAGAAGCTCAAAAAACTATAAGCCTAATGCCCCAAATAAAGATCAGGAAGAAGGGGAAAGGATTTTGATTGTGATGATAAGCTGCTAAGTGAATGTTCTGATAGGAATTTCTATAACAATGTTTGATAAAAAACATACGGTGGACATTAACTGCCACATGCTCAGATCATGAACACCATCAGATACCACTATGGTAATGTGTCAAATGTACACAAAAAGATGAGATTATTGAAATGAAACTGCAAAGGAATAGTTTATAACATAGGAAAGAAGGTACTTGAAGTGTTCAAGGGTTTTTCAATTGTTCTGGATTATTGAGGGGAATTGAGTTCAAACACTGCAGATTGCCAAAAGGCTACTTTATACAATGCAACAAAGCAAGGCCAAAAGGCTCAACATATCACAAGAGGCTCATCTAGAAGATTTTATCATCAATAACCACTACAAGAATTAGAGCCGGAAAGGAAGCAGCGTCGAATTAGAGCCTATCAAGGGAAAACGTCTGTATGAGGTGTGGCCGCCGTAGCTTCCATATCCAGAAGAGCCGGCTGAAAAACATCTGTACATTTGGTAAACCTTTGGATCCTTTTTTTTTTTTTTTTGGATAAAGAATAGAGTTCTAGAAATTTAAAAATCATACCGATTTGCAAGGGAGAAAATACTTAGAATAAGCTATTTGGTAGCCATTTAACACAACTAAGCAATAAACAAGCTAAACCAGATACATTGCTATGAATTGTTAAACCAGAAGAATAGTAACGGCTGCAAAAAAAAAAAAAAAAAAAAAAAAAGGAATAACAAAAGAGCATAATTCTGAAAGAGGCAGACTATTGAGGTTCATTATATGTACTGTACGCACTGCACTCCATCTAAGAATATGAGGGGGGCACACAGCTAAGTCTATCAAATGCAGTCTTGCTAGCAGTTTAAAAAAAGTAGCAGGACGCAAATGCATTATCACATGTAAAGGTTAGATTTTCCATTAACATATACCTGTTCTCACCTCCTCACTTCAGCCTCTTTAGCCTGCAACTCCTTCTCTTTCTTTTCTAAATCCTGCATTCAATGTTGACTTAAATTTGAGAGTCAAAGTGATAGACAACAAATCAAGACAAGAATGATGAGCATGGTTGTATGCATTCATCAGTTATGAAAGGTTTCACGAACCGCAATGCTATCAAGTGGAATATTAATAGAGCCATTATAGAGGCATTGTTATAGAAACCAGCTGGTTCGGGAGGAAGGGGAGAATGCCTTGGCTTTGTGGCAGGGGGACGCTCCCAGTGCCATGTAAAATTCCCTACACCAATGTGGAACATGTTAGCAATAGAACACATTCAAAAACAATCACGTAATTAATAAAAAAGACACTATATATTATGAGAACCAAAGTATTCTCTTATATCAATCCAGCATGCGGAGACTGGACTTCCATTGAAATGAAATTCTTCAAAACCAAATGTTATCTCCACTTCCACGGGGGAAATGGAAATGAGTGGAGAACAACATGAGTTCCATAAAATATGTACATTATTGAAAAATTCACTACTATGATGAAATTTCAGAATTGATTCTCTAGAAGCATGGAAGTGCAATAACAATGCAGCGTCCAGAGGCACTCATAAAAATATAACCCTAAAAAGGTTTTTGCACCTGAATTGTGATAAATAACACAAATACAGAGTTAAAGGAAACAGATTAAGGACACAGTTCAATATAAAAGGCAAAGAGGAAACAAAATACTCAAAATAAAGGTATGTTTCTGTTAGGAATAAAGTGTAATGGTTTTGATATGCCAAATTTGTATTTGTAGATCCCCCAATTTTATTTCTAGGTCTAGTAGAGTCTTAGACCAAGATCGGGAAATTATTTAATTATGAAAAGAGAAAAACAGAGGAAAATGGATGAAAATAGAAGAAGAAGATATAAAGCCGAAAATCAAGAATTTGTCTGGAGAAAATGACAAATTGAAGAAGAAGATGAATGACACAATATTCACGTCGCTACTACTCAAAGAAGATATCCCAGAAGAATTTTCGTGAAGAAAATTAATATTGGAAGAATGCATGAAATTGACTTGGAGATCAAGCATCTATGGAAAGAAAGAAGTACATTAAATGTGATTGGAGATTTAATCAAAAGCTGTACGGACGAAGTTGATGATGCTTGATATATTATCCGAAATGGTTCAAGTTCGAAACTCACCATCAACAATTTTACAAGGTAAAATTTAAAATTTGAGAAGTCAAATTAAATTAATCTGAGATGCAATTGCACTTGGGAGCCGATTTCATAGAAATTGAAATTGGGAGCCAGTTTCAGAGAAATCAATTGAAATTGGGAGCAAGTTTCACATGGAAATCAATTCAAGTAGTATGAGATGCAATTTCAAAGTTGGGGACCGATTCAAAGAAAACATGGAGATTGATAGGTATATTTTACACTCATATTTTAAGTACATCTTTATAATAATTTTGCATTAATTATTTAATATTATCTTATAATTAGTTCTTTTTATATATAATATATAATACATAATATATAGTATATAATAGAATACATACTATAATATATTTATATATTACGTACTGTGCAGTCTAACAAGTATATATATATATATATATATATATATATATACACTACAAGAAAAATGCACATAGACAACGGTTAATAACCGTTGTCGTAGGGGTATAATTTCTGTTGTTGAAGCCGGTGTTGTTGTAAGTCCCGCGCATAGACAACGGTTTTTTAACCGTTGTCTTTTCTAGAAACAACAACGGTTTTTTAACCGTTGTCTATTAAGTGTTGTTGAAGCCGGTGTTGTTGTAAGTCATGCACATAGACAACGGTTAATAACCGTTGTCTTTTCTAGAAACAACAACGGTTTTTAAACCGTTGTCTATTAAGTGTTGTTGAAGCTAGTGTTGTTGTAAGTCACGCACATAGACAACGGTTAATAACCGTTGTCTTTTCTAGAAAAGACAACGATTTTTGAACCCCGTTGTCTATTGTGTGTTGTTGAAAGTCACGCACATAGACAACGGTTTTTAATCGTTGTCTTTTCTATAAAAGACAACAGTTAATAACCGTTATCTATTGAGTGTTGTTGAAACCTGTATATTAAAGACAACGGTTCAAAACCATTGTTCTCACATTCATAGACAGTGATTTTAAACCGTCATATTTTGATTTTAACCATAATATAATAAAAACAATTTATCCAAACACCATAAATACCAAACCATCAATTCATTAGTACAATCATATTCTACAAGTATGTAAAGTATTTCAAAATACACACGAATTCATCATCTACTTCAAAATACAATGAACAATTCTAATCACCAAGTCTAAATATTGTTTACAAAGTTCTAATCAAATGCATTCCTACTCTATATAACTGGATTACTCTCAACATACCCGCAATCAAGTAGAGTAAAAAGCAAATAATAATTATATATTCACACATACTACAATATGATAATACTCAAGTGAACTGATAAACTAGGTACAAGTGATAATACTTTAACCTTAATGAGAGAATGAGAATGCTTACAGTTGTATATAAAATGAATGGAACAACTATGTAGAGGAAATTCAGGAAAATTACAGCAATGTACACGGCCAAGTTCTTAGAATGGAAAAAACCATTATCATTATCATCCTTCTCGAAGCCTCTGCAAAATCAGCACCTTTTAAGTAAAACCAAAATAAGCTAAATATGATAGAAAATGCAAGTTTTAAGTAAAAAAAAATGCATTCCTAAAATGGAGGAAATAGAAATGAAAACTAGCTAATAAAGAAAAGCGTCAAATGGTTTAGTGGAAATGAAATACACACTTCAACCTAGTACAGGAAACTGCAAGTTATGCACTCTTTTAAAGAGAAAATCAAATTTAATTAAATCAAAGAGCTTCCTTTTCTAAAAGAACTTAACATGCTCAAAAATACCATAAGAAAAGGACAAATAAATACCTAGGTAAGGTCAGTCAGATTCTTAAAAAAAATATATGTTATTATTTAGTTGAAACCATTCAACAACTTTCAAAAATCTTATAACAATCATCATACATCACAATACTTATTGAAACATTTGATATGAAGATGTTTTAGGTTAGTCTACAAATACTAAGAACAATAATAATATTCATAGATATAACTGACCCTTCAAATGAATAATAATATTAGAAATTAATATTAGCAATAGTATTAGGAAGTGAAAGTGATAAATAGATACAACTGACCCTTCAAATGAAGCAGCTATATATACAGAGAACTACTCAAACTTTATCAGTATTAATGTGAAAATAGAATGAACTTACCGTAAGAGTGGCAGCTAAGGGAAGTCCTTTGGGTACTACCACAACCACAATGGTAACTTGCAGCAGATTTATTTAACTTTTGTTAGTTTGTAACAGATTCAAAAGCATGCATGAAAATTTAAAAAAGGTAATAAGCATACTGCTAGACTGAAGATGAGGTAGCAAAGGCATTCAATGATAGATTGGATTCTTGATTGAAAGTCATAAATCTATATATACCGAATGAGCAACTTGTGACAGAATGCTAAAATAACATGCATATGAAAGATGCATAAATTCCCTGCAACACTTCAACTGTTATTCACACAAGAATTTATATGCAACCATAAAACATCATAAAAAAAAATGAAGTACAAGGCAACAAAAATAGAGATATAGAGACACAGACACACAGAATTTGTGAACCAAAACAGTAACATATTTGAGTTGATTAACTAGGAATTTGTGAAGGCTGTAAGAGCATATGAGAATAAACTGAGTGGCAGCAAAAAAATGGCAAATGGTATAAAGCTTGACAATGAGCTAGAGAGCAAGAGAAAGAGGCAGAGAGTTTATACAATATACAGACAAATTTAGACAATGAGCTAAAGAGTAATGATTCGGTGCAGAATTTCTGGAGGAAAACAGACTATATACATGTGGTTCATAAACAACAGATTTTAACAATTAACATTAATAATCAAGAAGGTAAAGATAGATTTTAACAATTAACATTCAATAATCAATTTCAACAATAAAACAAAATTAATTAAATAAAAAGAAAAAAATAATCATTTATATTTAAACAAAATCCATCACTGATCACTGGACACTGGCAGTACACTGCTAGAGAAAAAAAAAATCAAAATTCAAGAATTCAACAATCAACATTCAATAATCAATATCAACAATTAAACAAACTTAATTAAATTAAAAGGCAATAAAATAATTTTATTTACCTAGCTCTAATGGGTGCAATGATAGTTGAGACTTGAGTGGTCGGTCGGAGACGGGAGGGGGATAGATGAGGGCGAGGGCGAGCGGTTTGCTGCGTGCTTGTCGGAGACAGTTGCCACTTGCTAAGGCCGAAGGGGAAGGAGCCTCGCTGGCCGAGGGAGAGGGGTTGCTGCGTGCCTGCGACAGAGACAGTTGCGAAGGCCAAGGGACTGCTCCGTGTGCGCCGGTCGTCGTCTTTACGAACTCTATGTCTTTGAATTTGTAGTCTTTGTCGTCTCCGAGGCGGCGGACTGCGTCGGTCGCTTGCCGCCGACGCAGTAGCGAGCGGTGAGGAGGCGATAGCAGTCGTTGCTGTGACTGTTGGCGGCGAGGAAGCGAGGCGGTTAGCAGCGAGGGGAGGCTACATGACAATGGCGTGGCTGACGGACGGCTTATACCTTTGCAGAGAAAGAAATCGTGTATAAAACAAAGAAACATCACGGAAAAGAAAGAAAGAAATCGTGTATAAAACAAAAATGGAATTTAGGGATTAGGGTTTAAGATAGGATGTTGGAGCGACGAGGACGGAGGTTGTTGGTCGGGGAGGGAAGATGCGATGGCGGTTGCTGGCCGGAGAGGGAAGACGGCGACGGCGGTGGCTGGCCGGGGAGGCAAGACACGACGGCTGTGGACGGCCGGGAGAGGGAGAGGTCTCTGAATTGAGGGCTGTGTGAGTTTCCAGCTAAGTGTGGGAGGGAATTGATTTTATTTAGCGCTAAGTGTGGGATTAGGGTTGTCTGAGTTTTTTTTTTGTTTGGGAGGGAAGTGAAATTTTTTTCACGTTAAGTGTGAGGTGAGAGGTGTGTGAGTTTTTTTTTTTGGTTTGGGAAGGAATTGAATTTTTTGTAAAGAGAAAAATTTTGCGTTAAGTGTTTTGATTAAAAATTTGCAGAGGGAAAGAATTGAAGGAATTATTTTAATTTTGCAAAGAGGGAAATAACATAACCATGGATTAATTACTATGTTACTATGTACTATGTACTAATATATTATATACTATGTACTATGTACTAATATACTATATATTATGTATTAATATAATTAGGAAAATAACGAAATTTTATTTT